GGGGGGGGGGGGGGGGGGGGGGGAAGAACGTGGTTGTGATATGTTGCCTGGCGAAGAGGGGCTGGAGGCCCGGCAATTGTGCAGCGGGGGACGCCGGGTGGAAGGACAGCCCCGGGAGTCCCTTGCCAGAGACGACGGGCACCCACCTCTCTCCCAGGGAAAAGCTCAGTAGTCGCAATACCCTCTTGGAGTGCGCCACGCCTCGTGGCCCCCCTTCCCCCCCCCCCCTCCACCCACCCCGTCAGGGAAAGTGGCCGCGCGAAGAAAGAGCAAGAGAAAGTGCAAAACGCTTGCGCAGAGTCGCAGGAGTGGACGCAACGAGGGCGGGAGGAAACGCCAATCCTGCGTTTTCAGGAAGCATACGGGGTTCAGCTCTCCACAAGCCGGTGCATAGAGGAGGAGTCCCATCTTTCGGGGTGTTGAAGGCCAAGCCTGTTGGCCCCTGGGGGTGAACGTCGGAGAGGGGTAACCTTCCACTCTTCCCCCACCCCCACCCCCAAAAAAAGGAGAGCTCTGTGGATGGCGGGACAGGACGGCTGAATTCTCCACCGCCCAACGCAAAACGTCTTCGCGCAATGTCAAAAATGGCGGCACCTTTCCCTCCGCCCGCCCACCCGTCGCCTTTCCCATCCAATCAAGCCGTCTACAGGCCTTCCTTCCCCCGAGAGGTGGCTCTCCTCTTCAGATCTCTCGCTCTGGAGCCTCAACCCGCTCTGCCGCTCGAAAACGTCGGGCAGTTCTTGCCCCCCCCCCCACCCCCCCGAATGCCTGAGGTTCAAACCCCGCTCCCAAAGGTCACCCCATTGCTTCGGAATCCGACCGCTTCAGAGGTCGCTGCATGAGCAAGTCTTCAGCTCGGGCTCCTGGTCTTCTCCCCAGACAGGAAACGGTAAAAAGGGAGCAGATCCACGGGGGGATTGGGGGGGCGGGGAGGAAAGGAAGAAACACCTACAAGAGGAGGTCCCAGGAAGAGAAGGGAATGCCTTCCCAAGCAGTTGTGTGCGGGTTGACGTTCTGGGAGGGGCTGGAAGAAAGCCCCGCCCCCCCCTCCTTGCCCCAGCCATCGTCCGGGGAAGCGTTATGGCGTGTAAGCCGGCGGCGGCTGGAACTGGTTGATTCCTTCGTACTCCGCGGGGTAAGGTTCGTTCTCCTCCATCTCGGACAGAAGCTCCAAGGCCTGCTCCTCTTCTTCAGTGGGGTAGTGGCGCAGCAGGTTGGCGGCCGTGGCCAGGATGGATGCCCCGCCGGCTCCGGCCACCAGGTAAAAACTGATGGCAAACGTAACGTAGACCTGCGAGCCGTGGTACTTCTTGTGCTGCTGCTGCTGGGCTAGAATCAGCTCCGACGCCCAGTAGCAAAACCCGATCACCGTGGCGCACTGCAGCACTGTGGGCAGAAGGAAAAGACGGATGGGAGCATGGGGAAGGAGGACGTGGGCAGGGACCCTTTCTCGGGCTAACAGAGAGAGAGACAGGCAGACACTGAGAGAGACAGAGACAGAGAATGAAAGACACGGAGACACACACACACACACACAGAGTGATAGAGAGACAGAGAGAGACAGGCAGACACTGAGAAAGAGAGACAGAGACAGAGACTGAAAGACACACACACACACACACAGAGTGAGAGAGAGAGAGAGAGAGAGACAGGCAGACACTGAGAGACAGAGACAGAGACAGGGAATGAAAGACACGGAGACACACACACACACACAGAGTGATAGAGAGACAGAGAGAGAGACAGGCAGACACTGAGAAAGAGAGACAGAGACAGGGAATGAAAGACACGGAGACACGCACACACACACACACAGAGTGATAGACAGACACACACACACACACACACACACACACACAGGGACAGCTAGCGAGGAGCCAATGGGTTGCATCATCTCAGTTACCTGCTAAACGAACATTTATTTATTTTTTTGCTTTTTGAACTCTCACACTCTTTTTAAGACGAAGGTGTGGGATGGGGAGAGATAAGATCTTTCGGGATCTGAAGCTGAATGTACACGTTGGACTGGTTTGTCTCATGGAGAACCGACTGGACAAAAAGATGCTTTACGACTTGTTTTTAACGCAAACGTGGGGTAGAAACCAAATGGACTGCAAAAAGCAGTTTAAATGTCTTCCCGGTGGTTTTTATTAGTCCCCTCCTAAGGTCATCTGGAGGTGATTTTGTGGCCTATGGCCAAACCAAGGGCCAAAGACTTTGAGTTGCACCGATGGGAGAAAGCCTAGGTGCTGCTTTCTCTGGTCCCAAAGGTGCTTTTACAAGAGGCAGCTGGACTTTTTTTGATCTAGTTTCACCAAAGTGAGTCCAGTTGCGTCTCAAAAATGCAACTTTGGGATATCGGTAACCTGGATGACCAAAAAGCTTTCCCTTGTTAGTCCAACTAATTGGGCCTTCAGCACAGACGCGGACTCGGTAGAGGAATGCGGCACCTGTGCTTAAAAATTTCACAAGGGGGAAAATCTTAACACGGTAGGAACACAAACAGGGGGGGTGTTTGAGGCTCCAAGATCGAGCACGCGTGGAGAAAAATGGAAGTATTTGGTGGACAAGTTAAGAGAGACGGGCGGTTGTGGAAGCCTCACGGAAGCTGCCCTGCAAAGGAGCCCAGAGCGTAACGTAAAATCAAGGCCTCCCCAGCAGTGGTGAGCTGCGAATTTTTTAGCAACTGGTTCTCTGGCTGGGTAGGCGTGGCTGGTTGGTCATGTGACTGGGTGGGTGATGTCACTCATCACATCCAGCCGCGCCTCCTGGCCACTCACCTCAAAGGAACAGGTGTCAAAAGATATTTCTCTGGTCTTTTAGAGTGGCCAGCAGAAAGGGAGTGGGAGGAGTAGTGCATACCGTAGATAATTGCTAGGCGGCCGAAGCTTCTGGTGCTCAAGATTATTACTGGAGAGCATGATGGATGACTCTTGGCTATGGATGTGTCCCATTGGGGAATATACATCCAGGAGGTGGGGGAAGACCAGGTCAAGGGGGAAATGAACGATGTGTCTCAGAGTCGGCTGCACCCAGGTAGCACTGGCACGTTCACTCCTAATAAACCTTTTTATAAACTCTGAGAGACGCGGCTAGAATGATTTAAATGGGGATAGATTGTTGGATCCCTGACAACAGGTAGGAGGATTCAGCTGGTTGGGGCTAATCCCATCACTGGTTGGTCCACCCCTGCCCATTTTTCGGCCTGTGTTTGAGCCATTTTCAGGCTGTTTTGGGGGGCATTTTCAGACTAACAGCCCGAAAAACAGGCAACGCAAAATCGGAACAAGGGATTCGGGCGAACCGATCCGAACTGGCTGCAGCCCACCTCCGCTCTCCAGCTACCTGTGAGAATGTGAGCAAACGCGTAACGGCGGGTAATCTTCAGTGCAGCGTGTTTGGGGCCGAAGACGTCGAGAAGGAACGCGGAAAGGCTACAGATGATTCCCAAGAAGCAGAAAGCAGCGATCACCCGAAGCAGCAGCACCGTCTGTGGATTCATGCAGTAGTCTGGATGGAGGGAGACAGAATCAACAAGTCAGTTGCGTGGGGGGCTTCACTTCTGATCCGAAGAAACGCTTCCTCGTGTCACAGATTCAGCCTTCCAGTTTACAACCCGGGTCTATAGGACGTTGCCATCAGAGGTGGCATTCAGTCAGTTCGGACCAGTTCTGGAGAACCGGTTGCGGAAATGTTGAGTAGTTCAGAGAACCGGCCAACCCCGCCTCCAACTGGCCCCACCCCCATCTATTCTCCGCCTCCCAGCTGATTGGCTGGGTCTTCTTTGGTTGTCCTACACAGGAGAACGGAGCTGGAAAGCAGGTTAGTGGGTTGGGGAGGGAAGGGGGATTTTGCAGTAACCTTCCCCTGCCACGCCCACCAAGCCACGCCCACAGAACCGGTAGTAAAAAAAATTTTTTTTGAATCCCACCACTGGTTGCAATATTTATTTACTTCTGATGTTCAACAGACTTCTGTTACTGGGATATTCTTCAGATCTGGATAATTTGTCTCTTCAGAATTTGCCCAGGAACTTAAACATTTAAAATGAAAGAAATGTAAGAATTGCCTCTTAAATCGGGATTCTAAGAATTCACATATCTCGAGGAGGCCGAGTTACAGAAGGCTGAGGTGGGTGGAAGGGAAGTATCTCAAACCACGTGGTTTAGAGAAAAGTAATGTTCAATGGATCAAAAAGAATTAGGTTGGGTTACTTTAAAGACAAAAATAAAAATTGTCTTAAGAGTTGTTTAGACAAATGGCAAAGTCTTTCTTTGTTCTACGCTGGTCACCGGGGTTTACTAACTTCCACAAGAGCAGCACCCTGAAACGCTACAACCTGGTACGGATCTTATCTTTTAAGAGGCACCCATTGCGCTAAAACAAATGTCTTTTCCATATGAATATAGATAGAATAGGATTCTCCCCCCATCTACCCCAAACTCTCCAAAAATCCAGGACCAAGTCTCATCGCCTTAAAACTCTTTCTCCATTTCACAAAACCCACACTGGATAGTTTTCTGCTTCGGCTTTTCCGGGAAATGAGGGCTGCATCCTGGTTTTATGGGGTAAAGATTGTATATTTCTTCACACCTAGGGATATTACATAATTACATGCCATACAGAATGACATAAAACACCTGAACATTCCTACAAAGTAATCTTCAGGTGTTTATGTCATTCTGTGTGGCTGCCTACCTTGCAAACAGTGATGATAAATAGCTAGCAGTGTTATTGAAAACAGGTATTACAACAAGCATTATATATTTATATATCTAAAATATATATATATATATAAAAAGCACAAGACCACTCAGGCATCATAACAAAATCTCCACACGCAACAAACTTGAAATCTGGCACGTCGGTTCCTCTTGGCTTCTAGGGGCTGACTCAGAAAGGATTTTTCCAAATGACTCATCAGAGCATTTAGAGCAGGGGTGTCCAACCGTGGCAACTTTAAGACTTATGGACTTCAACTCCCAGAATTCCTCAGCCAGTCATGATAGCTCAGTTTCAGTTTCAATTTCAGATCACCAAGCAGCTTGTGAAAGCAGTTTCACTCTGACAGTTTCCTCAAGGACTACTTTCCACCTACTTTCCACGGTGCTTCACTGGTTTATCCTGAGGCCTTTGCCCTGGCAAGAAGCAGAACCATAAAACACACACACACACACACACACCCCTTGGCTTGATCTTGTGGTTTAAGCACCAGGTTATAAAAATGGGGGAAACAGTGAGTTTTAGTCTTGCCTTAGAGGCATGAAAGCCAGCTAAAGTTTAAGCAGAATATTCCCTCCTCAATGTTTAATGTTGGGTGTTTCAGTCATTATTTTTCTTTTTCCCTTTTTTATACATTTTTTTTTCCTTTTTTCATTGTTACTGTTGGATGGATGAGGGTTTTTTTTTCTCTGCAGGTTTTTTTTTGTTTTGTATTTTATTCCCATCAATAAAAGATAAAATAGTAAATACCTATTTTTTAAAAAAGGAACTTTTAATTCAGATCCGTAAGTGCTGGTGCAGCTAATACAAAGGTTCACTGTTTATTCATTCTGGTGAAAAGAAGGCGGATTTATTTGTTGGTGCCACCGTGTTCCATCTTGTCAAAGGCTGGGGCTGTGAATCAGTGAGATTTAATTCTTCATGAAGTAACTCGGTGGGTTTAGAGCGCGTGAACGTCCAAAAAGAAATGCTCTGAAATTTGATTTGTATTTTTTTTTTAAACTCTCAGTGTTTTCCTCTCTCCAAAATCAACTTTGGGAGAACAAGAAAAACGATACCAGAGTTTTAAACAAGAACTGCTTGACATTGTTCCCAATCTGTTCCATGCAGGTCCTCCCAATTCAAGAAACTGAAAATCCTGTTTTAATGCCAGTTCGCCATGGTTACAAATAACAGTAATAACAAAAAAAACACTACAAAATGTGCTCAGTTTCACATGGAGCATAATCAGAATAATATATCAGAATTTGATATATATGCAAGACTAATTGCCCTAAGCTGGCAACAATTCAACCTCATGTCAGTAGGACCTGAACTGAAGAGGAGTGATTTGGTGGGGTGGGATGTATACCGTGGAACAAACAAACCCAGGCTTGTGACTATAATAATCTACTTTTAAAATGGAGATTGTGGGAAAACAAGTGAGGACAGAGGAAAGTTAAACAAGCAATGAGAATCTGAAATTCCTGGTTGATGTCCATAGTCTTCACTTTGGTCAGGATAGTGTTAAACCAAGAAGTCAACTCCACCAGGCAGCTAAAACTGTCTTTACTGAAGCTGATTATAACAGAATCTTGTGAGTCTGATTGTTTTTACCTTCTCTCCCTTATGTTCAGTTATGAGTCAGTGTAGCACAATGACAGCAATAATACTAACAGTAATGTATGAAACTTATATGCCAACCGGCTCTCAATGCCTCACGACAAAGAAATTAAAATAAAATCAATGCAACTGGCTTTCCAAGATTTTGTTATCCCCCTTAAACGTTACAACCACTCTTAGAACTTAGAATAACTCTATTGTCACTTTGAATATACACTACACTAATTGGCTTACCATTAAAATGAAATTTCGTTGCGTATGTCTCTCAAACGGTCACCACTTCCAATATACACACAGACGCACACACCCGTTACTATGGCAGCTGGAAAGTAAAGATTCTTGAAGGCTGAGACAGTGACTCCTTAAAAATGATTTGTCGAGTCGATTTAAATCAAGCCTTTTTACTCGTGGTTTCGCCTCTGGACAAATAAACAGCAGAGGATCAGACACACGAGGCCAACCTATAGTTCTCTTTTAAGAGCATCCGTTTCCTGCTCACCTTTGTTTATTTATATTTAACATTTTTATTGTACTTCTTTTCTTTTCACACATCTCGGTCATCTCTAACAGTACTGAGGCATCTTTGTGACGTACGCACATTGTGACGTCCATACTTTTCTAATGATTCATATACATTTCTGTATCTTCAATTCTTATCCCTATTGTCCATCCGTTCCTACCCGTTTTCCCCAACTGTACAATACCCCGAGTCTTCCTTGCCTTTTAACTCTTAGGGTTTAACTTTGAACTCATTCTCACCTTTAAGTAGATCCGGGTCAATGTATCCCAGCACATCCGCCACACCCAGTTCCTGGCGAGAACAAGTGCCCCCATGTATCCGTAGCCAGGCGGGCTCTGCCAAGGCGGTGCACAGAGCGGTTATGGAGAGCGCCCCGGGCAAGGCAGACGCCAGGCTCCTTTCGGGCTGCTTGGGCAAGGCACTCCCATCTTGGCCTCTTCGCCTCCGGCCACCTGGCAACACTGAGCCACTTGGGGTATACATTCGGGGGTCCAGCCGAATAAATCCAACGCTGCACCGAAACCCTTGGGGTCTTCAGAGGTCGGCACTACCGGTGCCGCTGGAGACTAAGCCAGGAGGCTAACAGAAGGCCTGCAGACAGGGCATGATCATCAGAGGAAGGTCGGTCTCTGGGCTCTGTTGAGGAAACAAAAAGAGACAACTGATGATGACAAGCATCATCTTCATGATCGTGACAAGATGGTGGTGTGGTTCTCTGGCAGCCGGTGCAGACGGCAGCGGAATTGGACAGTGGGAAAGAACAGGGACCAGGCAGGGAGTCTGGAGAGGACTCGGACAAGGGTCCTGCATCCGATGCAGAGATGGGGCCAGGGCCATCAGGGAATGGGGTGATGACTCTGGAGCCTCCACAGTCTGGCAGCAGCGAGGCAGAGGACCCAGGGGAGCCTGTTCCCAGTGCGCGTGTGCGCAGAGCTGCTAGAAGGCAAGAACAGCTGAAACAGAAGGGGCGACTCAGGAGTAAGGCTGGGAGGTGATTGACCCTCCCCTAAGGGATAAAGGACAGGCAAAGGTAGAGAAACCTTTGCAGGAAGCAACTTTGTTTGTTCTGTTCAGATTAATCCTTGAAGCTCTGTGTGGACTTCGTACTTCAGTTGGTTTTTTATAATTCATTTGGCACTTTAGTTGTTAGCAGTACATCAAAGGAGAGAAAGGTAGGTGCTTATCTCGAGGGACTGTTTGGAACTCATTATGGGCTGGGAATGCACATAGTTCCCAGCACTGAAATAAAACAAAGAGTTTTTTGGACTAAGCGTGCACTTAATTACAGTCTCTTGAAAGCCTTGGTCAGAACAGATGGGCAAGAAACTATTGTTTGTAATTGACCATGGTATGGATGCATGAAAGTTCCTTTCTAACTATCAGAGTTTAATTGTTGGGCTGGAAAACGTTGTAAACTTTTGCCCAGGTCAAGCAGAGGGGGGGCGGGGGGGACGACAAAACAGCCATATTGGATCCCTCCCTTAAAGGCATGTGAAGATGTTTGGAATCTGAGTTGGCAAAAAATATAAAAGATTACAATAATTCTCAGACCAAAGAAAGGGATTAAGCCCAATAGTCAACCACAAGGATCTTTTCTTTAAAGCAATGGGGATTCGATGCATTACATGGTTCCATAAAACATCCCTTTTTTTGTTTCAAAGCCGCTAACATATAAAAAGAACTCGACAAAGGCCACGCATGTCACCAGACTGACAGCAATACGTGTAATACTCAAAAGAGAATCAGTGAATCACTAGATGCCGCCTGAGGAACATAAACAGGATGGGAGCTCTTACTATCGAAGCCGCTGTATATTCACACACTCTTTCCTTGTCAGCAAAGCAACCTGCACCAACTGGAGTGTTACTCAGCATTACGCAGATTCCAATTAACTGGGGAGAAAAGGGGTTCATCCCATATACCCCTCAGTGATAAGAAGCAACCCTTTCCTGAGCTACTCTTCAATAGCATTCTCACGGATCTTATCTAATTCCTGAACCAAATTACCTTTTAAAAGCACCTCTTTAAGGCCAAAGAAAATGGAATGAATTTACAACTTGCAATTTAGCCGTATAGCTCAACAAGAATAACACGTTTTTGTCCATTTGCACTGACAATTTCTTTCTCTACATGCTGCTTCTGCCACTATTGTTTATCGTTTGGGTTCCAGCCAGGAATTCAAGATTCTTTGCAGGAGGCTGTTAGCTCTCTCTAGGTTTTTCCTAAGAAAAAGATGCTGTGGGCAACAGACACCGCAATTCACCCTCAGACTCTTTTCAACCTTGGTGCCTAGTGTGCACAATGGCTGGAGCATATTAGATTTTTAACGAGGAAACAAATTCAGGTCAGAAATAATTCAATCAAAGCTGGAGGCTTGTGGGGTTATTAAAAGGAGCAAAGTTCCCTCTTGTAACCTCTTCCGGAATTGATTTCTACAAACAGCTCAATAATTAAAAAGAATGAAAAGAAGTCATACATGTTACTGAATTCAACCCATGCTCAGGGCAGGAATCCAAAACTACAGGTAGTCCTCCACTTATGGCCACAATTGAGCACGACAGTTCCGCTGCTAAGCAAGGTTGTTAAGTGAATTCTGCTCTATATATGACCCTTCTTGCTGCAGTTGCTTGTCAGGTGGCCGCAAAAAGGTATAATCACATGACCCAGGAACACTGCGAGCGTCATAAATATGAGTCAGTGTCCTGACCCAAACCTGGTTCCACAAGAGCAAAAACAAGACCAAGGTACCAGCACAACCTTTTACTGTTTCATCTATGAAGCCTGTTTTTTCACAGATAAAAAGGCTGCTTCCAACTAATTAGCTCCAACAAGGAAGAACCTTGCCAAGTTTGTTCAAGACTGCCAAGAACAACAGACAAAGTTCCTAAACAATAAATCGAAGAGTCTCCAAACACCAACCCAGATATTCTAACATCCACCAGGCTCGAGTATCAAACTTCTTTGCCTTCTGCAAAGAACTCAGTTTCTCAGCTGGCTTTTATCCCTTCAGGGAGGGACCATCACCTCGCAGCCTTACCCCCGAGGTGCCCGTGCTGCTGCAGTTGCTCTTTCCTTCGGGCTCCTCGGGGGCCTCTTCCTCACTGCTGCCAGCCTCCACAACCTCCGAAGGCAGCATTCCACTCCTGATGGTCCAGGCCCCTCATCTAAGACCTCGCTCTCTGAGGTCTCAGCCGTCCACACCTGCTGCCAGCGAACCACAGCGGTCAATTGCCTAGCATCCGAATTTTGACATCACCATGGGGATGCTGCAAATGGTCATACATGTGAAAAATGGTCACAAGTCACTTTTTCTAGTGCTGTTATTAACTTTGAACAGTCACTAAACAAATGGTTGTATGTCAAAGACTGCTTGTATTGCCAATATAAGGTTACTGGTCTTCGCTTAGCATGCCCAGCTCCAAACTTTCTGGATAATGGGCTGTACTATCAAACTGCTCTTATAATAATATCTGATTTACATCTATTCATTCAGCCAGAGTTTTGAATTTACGACGGCGCTGGGGGAAAAGTGACCAATTTCAGCAGCTCGACATCACACGATTGTCTTTCACAAACGAAAACTTCCCAGCTGGCTTCGGAAAAGGGCTTGCTTAACAGCCCTGGGTTTCACTTAACCACCATTCTCCAAAATAATCTGTGCCTGGAAAAACACAAGCAGGACAGGAAGGGAATAAAAGGTTGCGGCGAAGCAGTTGTTCAGATCCAAACTGAACAACTCTACAGTGGAGCCTTTAAGAGGCCAGTGTGGAAGTGTCTTTCCCACACTCAAATGTCCTTTTTCCAGCATTCTCTGACCAGGTAATTTTTTTTCTCTCTCGCCCATTTTCTCTGGCTGCTCTGAACTCCAATTCAAGGATTAGCCCAAGCAGAGAAGTGACTCTCGAGTTACAGGTTACCTTTACTGCCTCCCATATAATATAAATGATCGGCGTTTATGACCCTGCAGTGCTGGCAAGGGTTCTTTTATTTATTTATTTCTTTTTTGAATTTGGTTCCTGGTATTTCCTTCCCTGTGTCGTTGTTCCCTGCATTTCAGCTGGTATCGTTTACTGTTATCTGATTTACTTGTTTTAGTAAGTCGTATGTGAGAGTCAAAGGGTGACCAAGGAGGCATCTCAAACTAGGTGACTAGCAACTTTTGTGACGGGTGTGTACACACACACATACACTACACACACACTAACACTATAACTTTTGTGATATGTATGTGTGTGTATGAGTAAGTGTGTATGTATGTGTGTACACATACACTACACGCATATACATACACATACACTACACACACTAACACTATAACTTTTGTGATATGTATGTGTAGACACACACACAATAAATATACATACATACACTAGACAAATTGTATAACTTTTGTGAGATGTGTTTGAGTGTGTACATAGTACATACACACACACATGTACACTGTACACACACATATACATACACATATACACATATTCACATACTAACACTATAACTTTTGTGATACGTATGTATATGTGTGTGTGTGTGTGTGTGTATATATATATATATATATATATATATATATATATATATATACACACACACACAATACAGACGAACACAATACAGAAGCCTGATGATGGCAGATGAGATTCTGCCGAAACGTCGCTACAACTTTAAAAGCACAACTATAATGACGTGGGAAAATACCCGAACAAAACTGAATACCATACAAGTAAGTACCCACAAAAACTTAACATATATATATATATGTATGTATGTATGTATATATATATATTGTGTGTGTGTGTATGTATACAGACACTATATATACACACACACACACTATACACACGTACACAACACAAACCCTATAACTTTTCTGATGTGTGCATGAGTGTGTGTGTACATACACAGTTCAGACACACCTACATACATACCCTACACAAACCCTATAACTTTTGTGATACGTGTGGTATGACCGAGGGTGCACACACACTACACACACACACACACACCACACTCACTTTGAGGGCGGGCATCAGACGTTCATTTCCAAGGTGTGCCCGGGTGTTCAGAGGGAAAAGACAAAGGGACGGTCGAGGGTGTCTCGTGATCCTTTATCTCCCCTGAACCAATAAACGCTCCAAATACAAGGAACCCGCTGAGCCTCCAGCGGGGCTCGAAACCCAAAGGGGCCTCCAACCTCGGAGCACAGCTGCGGCTGGGGGAGTCTGGGGGTCGGAGCCCGCCAGCCTTTAAAGCTGGCCGAGGCTGGAGAGCTCACCCCCCCCCATTCCCTCCTCCTCCTCCTCCTCGCCATCTTCGCCTTATCGGCCGGCCTCTGTTCCCCCGACGCGCCGAACCCCCAAATCCCGGTCGGCGAACCCCCAAAGACCCCAAGCAGGAGCCCCTCCCCTCCCCTCCCCGCCCTTCCAGGTAGTCCGCGGGAAGGAGGCCCCTCCGCACAGGCCGCCCGCCCAGACCGGGGCGGATGGGGGCGGGGGAGGAAGGAGCGGGACATCCCGTCCATCACCGGGTCGGTCCGGGCCGGACCCAACGGCACACCCCACCCCCTCCCCTCCCCCGCCGTCCCCCCGCGGGCCCTTCCTCCTCACCGCTGCCGCTCCCGAGGCCTTGAACCGCGGCGGGCCTCCGTGGTGGGGGGGGGGGGGGGCAGGGGGGCCGCCGAGCTTGACAAAACCGCCGCCGCCGCCGCCGCCGCTCCCTCAGCTTCCCGGCCGCCGCCGCGCTTCCGCTTCCGCTTCCGCCCCCTCGAGGCGACGTCAGGGCGGCCGGAGGGCGTCCTGAGTGACGTCACGGCGTTCGGGTCGCGTCCCGCGCGGCGCAAAGGCGTCCATGTCGCGACTCGCGTGACGTCACGGCGCCGCGTCGGGCCCGCCTCAGAAAACCTAACCGCCATTACTGTGCTCGCTCCCCTGCCCCACCCCCACCCCCACATCCGCACAAATACACACAACGGGCCGAAATGGGTTGCGAAGCAACTCGTGAAGCAGGAAGGCTTTGGGGGCCCGAGGAACATCCCCCCTCACACCTCCCCCGGTTCTTGGGGAGCCTGGGCTTCCTCGGCGGTGCTGAGAGGAAACAAGGGGGGCGGGGGGAGAAGGAGGAAGAGGGGGAGAAAGACTACGAATCCCAGCAGGCTTTGCGGCGAGGGCACTTCCGGTGCTGCCTCGTCAAAGGGACTTTCGCGTTGGATCCAGCCTGATAAAAACAAGGAACGGCAGACAGGCCCTGCAACCACATAGCCCATTCTTCCCGGCCAGGGGCTTTTTTGGGCCTGACTCTCAGGTGAGTGCTGAGGCCGTCACTCCCGCCGGAGCGAGAAGCAAAGCTTTAAAATTGCAAGTCTGTATATTCCTTTCCTGGTGGTGGTCCTCGACTTACGACCGTAATGCAGCCAGCCTTCCCGCTGCTAAGCGAGACGGCTGTTAAGTGAGGTTTGCTCCCCATTGGATGATCTTTCTTGCCACAACCGTCATTACAGCGGTTAAGTCACACACACACACACCCTTTTCCCTGCTCTTTTTCCTCCCCTTCGTTTCCTATTTCCATCCTTTGTTTCTTTGCCTTTTATAATAATAAGCAAATACAAATTTTTTAAAAAAAGATAAGTTAGTAACCCAGAAGGATGCAAAAGGTGGATCATGTGACACCCCCTCACACACACACACACACACACACACACACTGCGACCGTCATAAAACCAAGCCACTTACCCAGTGTCTACATTTTGTAAGTCTGAAAAATGTCCCTTTTTTCTCCCACCACTGCTTTTTTTTGGGGGGGGGGGGTTTAATTTTTTTAATTTTATATTTTACAATAATTCCACCTTTCAGTTCAACCTTATGTCCACAGGCCAGTCGGTCAAGCGCTCCGGTTTTTAATCCCATGACCGTAAAGGAAGCCCTCCTGCTGAAAGAAAACCTCTTTATTTTATTTGCAGGGGTTTTAAGGTTCGGTTCTGTCGTGACCACTCGGTGTTCCGATGAAGGACTCGTTGACCCTCCTGTCCCGCATCCAGGCCCACCCGGATTCCCGTTGCTGGTTCCTAGCCTGGAATCCTACAGGGACACTGCTGGCTTCATGTGGTGGAGACCGTAGCATCCGCATCTGGGGGAAAGAAGGTAGGCTCAGGTGATCAGCTTGTGGATACCTGATTAATATGCTTAGTCTTGGGGTACCAAGATCAGGCAGGGATGTTGCCAGCCACATTGCCAGGTGCTT